AGACGGCGACGCTGACGATGACGAGGGAGAGGACCAGACGGCGACGCCGACAATGACGAGGGAGAGTAGCAGACGGCGACGTTGACGATGACGAGGGAGAGCAGCAGACGGCGACGTTGACGATGACGAGGGAGGGTAGCAGACGGCGACGCTGGCGATGACGAGGGAGAGTAGCAGACGGCGACGTTGACTATGACGAGGGAGAGTAGCAGACGGCGACGTTGATGATGACGAGGGAGAGTAGCAGACGGCGACGTTGACGATGACGATGGAGAGTAGCAGACGGCGACGCTGGCGGTGACGAGGGAGAGTAGCAGACGGCGACGTTGACGATGACGATGGAGAGTAGCAGACGGCGACGCTGGCGATGCGGCTCACAACGACCCCGGCCTGTCTGCCGCTGAATCAGAAACAAAAATAATAGGATGAACATCATAATTCGTTTCATCGGTAAAAAACTAATAATATAGAAATCAAAATTGTTAGGCAATGTGAAGTATACAAAACAGCTGAACATGAGAGAGGGAGACAGAGAGTGAGAGAGACCATGCAAATTATTGTTTTCGTTTCTGTCGTTAATGTCTGCATCACTTGTATTTACCGGAAGTACTGCGTGCATAACACTGATCCTTTGAAATGCTGTCGGCCCGTTGAAACACGAAACAAATAAAACATACATTACAGTCGTGTTATGGTCATCGCAATCCCGATCACCGTACTTGCTTAAACATCCTATACTCCTACCAACGTTTATTCTGCATACAAATGGAGTTTTTTTTTTGTTCCCGGCGAGATGATGAATGTGCAGTTGCTTTGACCTCTGCACTGGGGTGGTGCCTGTGTCTGTTTGTCGGTCTGCTATGGAAACTCGGCTTGCTCAGACTGCTAATGGAATTACACGTATCTGGGCTTGCACGTGAGTCTAAGTCAGGATTAATTTTATGTCGGACGCTATATGAGACTTTTCGTTGCGTGCCTGAGCAAAAATGTCCATTGCAATTGTTAGCACCAATCCCTCAAAAACCGGTGCCACCTTTCGTGATTAACATGACCTTCACATCGCAGTTTACAGGCCGCATTTTCGTTCTCAGCGACCCCAGCTCGGATCCATCAGACCAGACCGGCCGCTGTGCAGTTTGGCTATAAAGTTCTCCAGATTACGCGCGATGTCACGTTCTGCATGCTGGGAATCGAGCGCCGAATCTCCGTTTCTGTTGAACCGTGGGCTTCGGAAGTCGTTTTTTTCAGGAACTTCCGAACTGGTGTCGTCGAAAAAGCAGTTTGCACGGAAGTGTGCTGAAAAATGCATCATTCATTTTGCCAGCAACCCGAAACGTGTTCAATTGCAACACCATATTAGGCCCTGCCGATTTTATCACGGATGGGATTGCGAGAGCGTCCCGCACAATCAGTTCCAGTGCGTGGCGAAAGCAGCCTGGTTGCCCACGCCGCTGAGCTGCGTGGATCAGCAGCCTCCTCCTGCCAGTCAATAGGGAAAGGCAACACCACTCAGCCTGTCTGGAGAGATCAGCAACGACGATGCGTCTGTGACGATTACTAACACCGTTCTGCCAGCCTATGATTTTCAGATGCACATCTCGGCCAGTGTGCACGGGACAGTAGCACCGCTCTGCCAATCTATGATTGTCAGCTGCACAGCCCGGCCAGTGTGCAGCGGGTAGTAGCACCGCTCTGCCAGCCTATGATTTGCAGATGCACATCTCGGCCAGTGTGCACGGGACAGTAGCACCGCCCTGCCAGTTCATGACTGCCAGATGCACTTCTCGGCCAGTGTGCACGGGATAGTAGCGCCGCTCTGTCAGTCTATGACTGCCAGATGCACAGCTCGGCCAGTGTGCAGAGGTTAGAAGCGCCGCTCAGACAGCCTACAGCGATCGGTTGCACACCTTTGCCAGCGCGCAATGGTCAGTAAAGCTGTATTGCCAAGGAAAAAGGTCCAAGAGCGCCGCTTTGCCAGTCTAGATGATCAGCTGCCTTGCCAGTCTACAGGGATCAATTACATACGCTTCATATGCAACGAGAGAAGGGGATCAGTATCACCGCCCTGTTTGTCTCTGATCCCTGCCAGTTTCTGGAGATCAGCGGCAGCGCTCTTGCAGTCTGAACGGATCAGTTACACCTCCCTCCGTAACGATCCGTAACGGCAATCTACCGAGATGTGAAGACCACTCATCTGGTGGCACCTGTCCTCCAGTCGGCATGAATAGATAGTACCTCTGCGCCAGCCTACAGTGGTCGGTAGCACCGCTTTATCTGCCTGCAGTGATCAGTGCCACCACAGCGATAAGCAACACGAGCGGTGTTGCCAGTTCACAGGGAACGGTTGCATTGCTCTGCCAGTCTACGGCGATCAGCACCACCGTCTTCCTGTCGAAAGCGATTAGCAGCGTCGCTCGCCAGTCTGCTTTGGGTAGTAACGACACTGTTCTGCCAGTCTACAGCGATGAGCAGCTCCGCTCTGCTAGCCTGAAGGAGTTAGTAGCACCGTTCTATCGGTGTGTAGGGATCAGCAGTGTCACTTTATCTGTCTGTAGGGACTATCGGCACTGCTTTGCCGTCTGTGGGAACCAGCAGCACCTCTCCGTCAGCCTGAAGGCGTCAGTAGCGTTGCGATGGTAGTCTGCAGTGATCAGTAACGTGGCAGTCGTGGTCTGCAGTGATCAGTGGTGTCGCACAAGTAGTCTGCAGTGATCAGTCACGTGGCACGCGTAGTCTGCAGTGATTAGTAGAGTCGTACTGGTGGTCTGCAGTGATCAGTAGCGTGGTGCTGGTAGTCTGCAGTGATCAGCAGTGTGGCACTGGTAATCTACCCTGATCAGTAGCGTGGCACTGGTAGTCTGCAGTGATCAGCAGTGTAGCACTGGTAATTTGCCGTGATGAGTAGCGTGGCACCAGTAATCTGCAGTGATCAGCAGCCTCAGTCCGCCAGCCGGCAGCCGGCAGCCGCCCCGTCCTGCCAGCGGCGCGCACCGAACATGCTGGCAGAGGGATTAATCGTTACTACGACCTACTCGGAAGGCGAAACAACACCCCACCGGTTATTAATTAAGGCTGTGGGAAGGAGGGGCGGCATGCCCGCTACGCTGACATGGCGCCTATCACAAAAGTTATCCGATCAGCTTAGTAGGCCAGTGACGCCATGTGGTCGCCTTCAACGGCGGCGTACCCCGCACGATCCCGGCTCTGGTATCACCAGCATTGGGATGGTCATCAGTTAAGTCATCAGCGAATGTAAATAAAGCAAGGCTAAACAATGGCGGGCCAAGAGCATGCCAACTTCCAGGTGAAACAGGCTAAGTGATGAGGTCGAATATGACTCAGAGTCATCGTTGGTCGTAGTTCAACCGCCCAAACCTGGCCATCCGCACGAACGCTGATTAGGATTTTGATACACCCTCCGAAAAACTTTACTTCCTGAACGGCGTGTAAGATAGATATTCCGTGACAATGCGCTTTTATTTGCACAGTTGTCGATCCAAACCACCAATCCGAGTCTTTCAATATCTTCCGCCATCAATATTGTGAATGACTCATGCACGGCTCGCAGATCCCATCTGACCAGAAATTCTTCAATTATCCGTTGCTGCATTTCCAATAGCCGCATTTATTCCGAGCTGGCGTCCCGGCCCCTTCCTCACCGCTCCCTCCCCGTCGTCCATTCGTTATCCCGTGACGTCACCACTACGTCACCGTCCCAGCGGCGCCGCAGTCGGCCCATCTCGACCGCGTCATGGCCACTCTCTCACCTCTTCCTCCCGGCCGGCCGTTTAAAGACCCCACGCCCAGTCAGTCAGAGGGTCAAGGCTGTCTAAATCTATCAGTAAGCACGGCAGCTATCCCGTTTACGACGTTTTAATAGAATGAGGAGCAGCGCGCTCGTAAAGGCTATCATTTTCACCTCTTTATGGCACCAATTTGTTACCAGGCCGGCTAGGGTCGTCCGACCGGCATTCAGCGATAAAAACCGCATCGAGGCGACCGGGGGAGCTCACGCAGTATCGTCGCACTTCCGACTCTTTTTTATCGCGGGCGCAGCGCGAACAGACGACCTAGAAGGGGTAAGCGTGCGCCAGCCAATCGTCGAAGAAAAAGCGTTTTGACAGATGGCGCCGTGACGTGACGAATGCGTCAGCCGAGTCTCTTCAGGCTCTCAGCTGGCGGAGGGCAGACACGCCCCACCGCCCCGTCGGGTTCGTCAATCCTTTGCCGAGGTCAGGCAGGGGGGAGAGGGTGAACCACCGCTCCGCCGGCCGGAGCGGCTCGACGGCCCGTTCACGTCCCGGCCTTCCGCTCCGTCCCGGCGGCCGGCGCCAACCGCCGCGCTGCCTCCCAGCGCTCAGTGAGTTTTGATGAGGCGTGTCTCTATGGTGGATTGCTTTATGGCCTGTTTCGGGCGCATGACCCGCGCCGGGCAGAGCGCAGAGGAGGCAGAGCGCGCGCGCGGCGCGACAGTGACAGACGGCGCAGTGCGCACCTCGCCGGCTGTTGTGTAGGTCAGGAACGGCGCCGGTCCGCGCGACGCCCAGCTCGGCGAGTGCGTCTGTGCGTGCGAACTCCGGTGCGTGCGGGGGTGCGCCGGTGCGGACGGCGAGCACCCGACGTATTGGCGTCGGGAAAGGGGAGCCGGCGGCGACGGCGACATTTTTGATCCGGCGCCCATTAATTGAGAGGGGGTGCGCGGCTGGCCGACGGGCATCCCCCACGAATCGGCGCACGGTGCGCCCGCCGCTCTCCGCCTCATGTTTATTCCCGACAATAGGCTGAATAGGTCAATGTGATTGGTCCGCCGCGCGGCTCCTGGCCCGCGTGACGTCACTCCCGCGTATTGAATGGTCTCGTCTGCCAGGGGACGGGCGCAAATCAGTTGGGGAGCGCGACGCGGCCGACCCTGGGACCCAGACGCCAGGCGGCGCGGGGGCCGCTGCCAGCGCCGGCCCAGTGCGTGAGCAGTGCGTGAGAGCGCGGCCGCGCAGCGCACCATGAGCTGGAACCTCGGCAACAGCGGCGGCGGCTGGCCGGCCAACAGCCACCCGCAGGCCGAGCCGTACTACGTCAACAACGGCAAGTACGCCGGCGTCAACTACGAGAACTTCCAGCAGTACGCCGCCCAGGCGCATCAGCACTTCGCCAACCGCTACAACGGGCCGTACTCCAACCTCGGCAACCTCAGCGCCAAGGCGGTGTACGAGCAGTGCGCAGCGCCGTACGGAGGGTACCCGAGCGGCGCGCCGGCCCGGCCCGAGGCCGGCGATGGCCGCGACTTCGCCGCCTGCAAGATGCCCACCTTCCCGACGGGCCCGCTGCCCGACGCCATGCACGTGCAGAACTTTGCTGGCATGGAGGATATGCATTACGCAGCGGCAGCGGCCGCCGCCAAGGGCCCCGGCGGCATCTTTCCCTGGATGAAGGCGCCGTATACCAGTGAGTGTCCCTCCCCTCCCCCTCATCCCCTGTACTTCACTTAAGAGAGCGAAGCAGTGCGGAGCGAACCTCCTCCCTCCAAAGCTGTCCTGATTTCAGAGCCCTGCGTGGACGGGCCCTCGGCCTTCCGGGAGAACGGGGAGCCGGCTCCTCCCGGCTCCCGTGGCTCCCGTGAGCTCTGTCGCGGCTTCCGCGCGGCTCCCGCCCGGGAATGCCGACGACGGCGACCCTCCGCGCGCACGACACATCTCCGGTAATGCGAACCCGCGACTGGGCCGCGCGCCGCCCTGCCCGCCCGCGCTCGCCGTTTTTACCGACACCCTTCAGTGGGGTCCCATTTGTTTTAATCAATTTCGGCGGATAAAAAGGGTCACGTGACAGCGACGTCACCGAGCGGCGTTTTTGTGGGGCAGCCATCTTCGCCGGCGCGGTGCCAGCGCGCTGGGAGCCGGCGCCGGCTTTTGTGCGCGAGCCGACCCGCACCGAGCTGACACGACTTCATTGCGTAATGTTGATGGGTCGGCGTGGCGTGCGCGGGCGCTCCGGAGTGGAGTGAAGGGGGGGGGGGGGAAGGGTGAGGCTGCAACACTGCAGGCTGACGTCACGAGAGGAGGCCCGCGGCTGCAATGGCCGGCAAGGCTGCCGAGGCCGATTGGTCATGCAGGCAAAGGGTGGAATGGGGCTGAAATCGGGAAGTGGGGCTATTGGGAAGGAATGATTTGACGCATACAGCGGACTGCCTGAGGGGGGTTTTCTCCATGCGGAGGTAGGAACGACGGAACTAATCGGAACATGATTTTTGTCTTTGGGTCCGCAGCGTTCGTAGTCTGTGCGGACAGCTGCTTAATTGGAGTGTCTCAGCCAGTCCTTTTGGTGATTACCAGTCTTGTGAGTTGTTCGCTGCTAATCAAAACAACTCCGATCGATTTTTGATGCTTACTTGGATTTATTTTGGTAGATTTGTGGTGTAGTAATAAATAGCCATATTTTTATATGAATTCATTCCGAATGGTTTATATGACCGATTTTGGGTTCATAGTGTCTGCTAAGCATTGGTTGTTGCGTTTACCCTGAACCCAATACCCAATTCGTGCCGTCCAGTTCAACGGATAATTTTGCCTCCGCCCTTTCGCCAGACAGGAATTTGGAGAGTTTTACGTGTCGCACAATGCTGTGACAAGGCCGCCACGGGGCTGGGTCGACCCTCGTTGGCCAGTTGCCAACTGACCTTTCCATTTCAGTCGGGCCAAATGATGCGCCCGCGCTGGGGCTCGTACCCAGTACAGCTGGATTGCGAGTCCAGCATCTTTTCCCGAGACCACGGAGGCGGCATATCTACATCACTTTCATATATATATATATATATATATATATATATATATATATATATATATATACATATCTACATTATTATCGCATATATACATATCTACATCAGTATCAAGTTATCACATATATACGTGATGGATTTCCTCATTGAGTGTAATCGCGATCCTTAAAAAATGATGTGGGAGTTTTGAACAGCAGTGCAATGGTCGTCACGAAGCATGAGCCTTCAAGCAACAGTTCTTCTCGGCCCATCATCTTCGTAGGTTTCAATTTCTCCGTAAATGTACAATATCACAAGCATGGTGTAAAACGCACATGCACACGAATATTTATATATATATATATATATATATATATATATATATATATAAATATTCGTGTTTCAGTATATATATATAATATTATATATATATATATAATATAAATATTCGTGTGCATGTGCGTTTTACACCATGCTTGTGATATTGTACATTTACGGAGAAATTGAAAACCTACGAA